CCATGCGTCGTCATGGCCTCCAACGAATCTGCCACTGCAGACGTGTTCGGCATGGATTCCAACCCAGGAAACAAACGGGGGAACAGCGCTTTCTCGATCTCGTTGTTGACCTCGTACGGGACTTTGATATGTCCACGGGGCACACCCAACGTGCAGAACACGGATTCCTCATTCAGCGGTAGTCTTCCGCGTCCCGGAATCATGAATTCTCTGGAGGCGGGGTCGTAGATCTCACCAAGCCAATCGCATACAGGGTTGACAAGGTTCGTGCACCGGACAGCCATCATAGACTGCATACCCATCTCAGCAGCAGCCCCCTTCTGATCGTCGCTGAATTTGTCAGTCAACGCAGTCAGTCGTTCTTGGGAGGCTCTATTGCGAATACGTTTCTTCTTCTGCAAAAAACAGACATAAAATGATCAGTTGTTGCCATGTTTTTACAAAAAAAAAGATATCAGTTGTTGCCGCATTTTGCAATGTAATGAAATTTTAGTTCGTGCCAGACGACCGCGGGCTCAAAGGTGTCAACCATTAACATACATCAGGAAGAAGGGGTGTGTGTGTGAACATTTACCTCATCATCCTCTTTTCTCCGCCCAGTTGCCCCATTACGCTGTGGTGGATCCATGAAATCATCATCGTCGTTTTGACGATCGCCACGAGCCATTCTGCTGAGATAGGAACATACCAAATTGTCTTGGTGGAAAATGTAAATGCAAGGAGGTCAGCAAAAACACTTGCCGCATGCAACGCATACGTATGGCATCTGAAACATTTGATATGCAAATTCGGTTGCCACATTGTGCAGCCAGTTTGCCACACTGTCTTATATGCAGAATGACAACAGGCAGTCTGTTCACGCTCTATTTGCCACACTGTCTTATATGCAGAATGGCAACATGCAGTGTGTTCGCACTCTATTTGACACATGAATATACTACCCAGATGGCAACAAGCACACTTTAAGTGCGCAGTGGTTGCCATCCAGTGCACTTGGCTCTTGAATGCCCACTGACTATCGATTGTGGCAACTATCACACCGTGGTTACTGTCACATATCATTCGGAAACACACACTGGCCGCAATGAAAATAGAATGGTTGTGGCACATAACACAGGAATTCAGCAATCTTAGTTGCCACACGGAAAAAAGAGCGTGTGTGTGGCAAATATCACATTAGTTCAGCAAAATTAGTTGCCACATGGAAGAGCGTGTGTGTGGCAAGTATCGCATTACTTCAGCAAAATTAGTTGCCACATGGAAGATCGTGTGTGTGGCAACTATCACAGACACTGAATGAAAAAAAATAGTTGCCATGTGCGAAAGCTAACATGTGGCAACTAACACAGTCGTTTTCAATAATTTGTTGCCGCAAGGGGAAACACGTTTGTGGCAACTATCAAATATGTTCAGGGAGTTAGTGGTCGCGCAATCATGATAGTTAATGTAACTATCAAGTTCGCCTCATTCTGCATTTTCAAAAACCAAACTAACTAGATCTAGGGTTCAATGGCAACTACTTCGACTTCAAATTCACCCTCAAAATTCTCCCACGAACTCACTGCAAAACACAAAATCGAACCAACGCGCATCAAAAACTACCCGGAAGACACCTGCTCAATCCATATGCAAAGACTAGTGCGTGCCTCCGAACAAGCAGAACCACGCCGACGATGCCGCCGCCGCGGCCGCGACGAAACTGACCAGTGCAACCAAAAACGTCTAGCAGACGACTTCGGCGCCGGCGGGAACGCCGACGCATCGACGAATCGCCTGAATCTCTACGAATCTCGATCGAGGAATCGAACAGGGAGGGAAGGGGAGGAAATGCAAGAAGGGAATGCGAGGGGTGCAGCGAGCAATACCTTCAACCCGCAGGCGCTCCGGCGAGCCGCTCCATTCCGGCGAGCACCACCGACGGTCCCGAACACCGTCGTTTCTTCCGCCTTCGCCGTCGCCTTCTCCCCTCGCCTTCTCCTTCGATGGTTGAAAATGCGAGTGGGTTCTGCCAGTAACTGCGGTGCGGGAGAGTAAATGGGAGCGTGAGGGGGAGGGGGCAGAGGCGTGCGACGTCAACCGCAGTCGAAGCGTGGCGTGCGGGCGCATTGCAGTTCCACCGCACGACTCCGATGGCAACCGCTGACCGCGGGGTGGCAACCAACGTGCGGGCGAACCTACTCGCACACCGCACACGCGCCTCATCCTACGTGGCGCAAAAAACCGCCTGGTTTGTTCCAAGATTCGTGCACACATCTGCCAACGGTGATGCTTGCGTGTGGTCGGGGTGGTGAACGCCTACACGTATGGGCGTTAACATTTCCGAAAAAGTTTCCAAATGTTTCGGGTTTTTTTTTAACATTTCATGCTTTGGTTAGCACCATAGCGATCAAGCCGTGTGTGCCACGCTACGCATGGCCATCGATTCCAGCCGGCCCGCTGCCCCCTCTCTGTCAGCGGTCCAAGTCTCCGGACGCACGCACGCCTGCCCGTGACAAATGCGCACACGACCACACCGCTCGCCGTCAAATAAGTACTAATTTTAATACAAAGTTGGATCAACTATTTTAAAACAGAGGGAGTACATATGTGTGCGTGGAGGTGAAGCCACCAGTGGAGTCGTCGGTGGCCTCATTGGTGGCACGTGCTCATAATGAGGTAGGACCGTCGGTGCGTATGAACTGAGGCGTGCGGCTGTACATATGTGCGGCCGCCGCGATAAGACGAGCGCGACGTGCACGGAGGCCGGCGGAGGCGACGACGTGCGTCCGGCGTGGCACCGGAGTAGTTCGTAGGAGTACGTAGGTCTAGCCAGGGTCGATGGATGGAAGCCGGAGTAGTTCGTAGGAGTACGTACGTACGTGGTGGTGGGCGGCGCTCTATGCTCCATCTGTGTCTGTCCCGTGATCCGCTCGATCATATCTTATCTACGTCTTTCAGTCGTGCGCGCACGCCTTCTGCACCGATTCCTTCGTGCCAAAGAAAAGAGTGCGATGGTGCTTTCACGTGCTTTGGTCGTACCGTCGGCTGGGCGGTCCGCTGCACGGAATGCTGCAACGTGATGGGCGTGCGCCATATGAGAGTACTCCCTCCATAAACTAATATAAAAGCGTTTAAATTATTATTTTAATGATTCAAATGCTTTTATATTAGTTTATAGAAGAAGTACTATTCTAATAAATCAGCCTTGCTAAGTCCCGGTCAACTGAGACTCAGTCGATATTATATCCATGAGATCTTATTTAACATCATGCAAAAAAAATCAGATTTTTTTTTCTTGCATGTTATGCACTTGACTGAGACCTAACCAAACCTATTCTGAATATGGACATTTTCATTCATTTTAAGAAGGAAAACATTTTTTATCTGTAGTATGGTAGGAGACCATTGCCGGACCTGGGCATTGCCGTCGATTCTTTTCAATCTCACCATCACCAATTTTGCTTCACGGTCACCGATTCTATCTGCCCTGGCGCTCCATCGTCCTGTCCACCGACCCAGGGCAACATCATAGGTGCGCCATCTCGTCATTAGGGGCTCAATCCCTAATGCCTCTGCACGGATGGCATGCTACCTTAAAAGGTTAAAATTGATAATTCCAATATCCATGCCCGAACCGCATGAATGCATTATCTAATCCGGTGGCCTCACGCAGCTGCCACCATCTTCCGCGGTCCCATATTCAGGAGCGACCAACACACATTCATCTTGCGAGGACCCTGCCACGGTGCCAGACAACACCACCTCCATGCGCACGTTCATCATCGCGCATCTGACGTCGAGACCCCGTTGCGCCATGTCGCCGAGACCCGCCGTCGTTGATGCGGTAAATGCCACACCGCTGCACCTTATGACCCCACAAGCGCCTACTCCAAGACGATGCCTCAGGAAGGGGAACGACGTTGCGCGCCGCCATCGTCGGATCCACTTCATCCTAGCACCACTTTACTAGTTACGGTGCCATAGTAGCAATAAAAATATGTCTCACCGAGTACGTCTTTGGTTGGCTTAGGGCGACCCCAGCAGCTCGCAGTTCCATTGGATGTGACTTGATTTGATCAGCGGAAGGTTCCTGTGCGCGTACGGGCAGAAAGCAAAACTAAAATAGAGACTATCAATTAGCGGGATATAGTATATCACAATCATCACGTACTAGTTGAGAACCCGGTGTATGGTCCGGTTGTACTGCCCTGAACTACTATGTTTTCTGTTTCCTGATTATACTACATCGCAATTGATAAAATTTCAAACTATTTTCCCAAAGATAAAAACGGCTCTGCTAAGTTCTAACAGAATCCGGTGGCCTAAAGTTGGACATCACTTGGCTTGCAATTGTATTTGTAAAATGTTACTACATCCGAACCTGCATGTTATGTATGAAGCGACGACGGGATGATAATATACTATAAATGGTATTAATGTAAATGCGCAGGAAGTTGATTGATTTAACATTTTATAAGAAACTTATAAATTATCGGTATATAAAAAGAATGACACTTAAATCATTCACTTCCAGCCATTTCCATAACACACCTAAAAACTCTCTTGAGACGGTGGAGATTCGGGAAGATTAGGAACAGCGATGATTGGGCTCCTCACAACATGTCGCGTGGACACCCAACTCAAGCTTCCCTCCACATGTTTTTTTGAACCGGGCATTACCCCTTTCCATTATTTTGACATAACGGAAATACAAAGTCCAGGTCTTAAGGAAACTGGAAAGGAGAAAGCGGGTTCAAGACACCACTGGAAAACCCACTGCAAGCACTCGTCATCGAGCAGCTCACCATGGGGCCAAAAACCCAGTGCCATCTAAAACCAACTATCCTAACCAGAGCAAAATAAGAAATCCGGAGGTAACTTCCACATTCAGGGGGGGACAGCTCACAAGTGAGCATCAGGTAAAGCCGACGCAGGGGCGAAAGCATCAAACGGAACAAGTATCAGGACAATAAAAGCCACTGAAGATAAGGCAGGAGAAGGCATAGCGACAGCTTCATCCTTCAGTCCATCGCTGATCCAGCTGGGGCTGCACAAATTCTCATCATGGCAGCAGCGTTGGTCTTGAGCATCTTAGCGCCGCGCTCCATCGCCTCTCGATCAGCTCCCGCCATCAGATCTGCCCAGTAGTTCATGTAGCCACATGCAGAAAAGACCACATCAAAAAAGGATCTCAACTTTTTGCCTTCGAAAGTGGCCCTGTTACGACAAATCCACATGGCCCAGCATATCGCAGCTAGGCCAAAAGTATAGAATCTGACACCATCTTAGCACCAAGAGAAATATTGCCATATGTTATCCGGGCACAAATCTGTGCCAAACACACAGCCAAACGTTCTCCAAACCACCCTTGCAACTCGACAGGTGAAGAAGAGATGTTGAGAAGTTTCTCTGTTCTGACAGAAGGAACATCTGGGGTTCCCCGCCCATTTGCGTCTTTTCATGACATCTCGTGTCAACACCGCATCTTGGAACATTTGCCAAAGGAAAATTTGGCAAATGTTTTTGTCCATGAACGCCCTTGCCACTCACTGACACGCTGAATGTCTTCTTCTCCCCGGCCTTCGAGAACACCAGCTTGTTCGGGGTGACGCGTACTGTGAGTGACTTGGGCATGCATGTCCAACTTCGCAATGTATGTCGATGATGACGGCCCGACGTTCGTCACCGTCCGATTCACCATGAAGGTAGTAGGCTTCAATGGCACAGTAATAGTTGGGTAGTTGAGCTCAACATCTCTGACCTTTGGTAGCTTTGCGCAGTTCAAGCTCTTGTTACGCACGATGGTTGTCAGGCCTCTATCACCGAGGAGCCAGCAGATGTAGCCAGCATAGTCGGTGACACCCAGGTCGTACACCAAGCCAGGGTCAGCGGCTCTTGTTGGATTCACATGGCCTGCGCCCATCGCGTACGCGTCCGCTTTCCTGTGCTTCTCGTCCAAGACCGAGCCACCAGTGCTATTAACAACGTACGCAGTCGTCATCATGGCCGACTTGACGGCTGCTGGGGACCAATGAGGATGCAAGCTCTTGATAAGTGCTGCAACACCACTGATGTGTGGCGCTGCCATCGATGTGCCGGATAATATGTTGAAAGGGCCTACTTTGGACTCCGTCCATGGACATGCAGCGAGGATGTTCAGCCCCGGCGCCAATATGTCCGGTTTGAGCACGCCGGGGAAATGCTTGCTTGGACCTCGAGAAGAGAACGATGCCACTACAGGGGCCGGACGATAACCAAGGAATGTCTTGTGGTACGAGAAGCCAGCGCGTGCCCATCTGCTTGACGATGCCGCGTAAGCTCTGAGGACGGCGCCGTCGCGCGCGCTCATTTGCACCACACCGGAGTTGTCATCATCAAGAGAAACCGTGTATCCATCGGATGCCTTGTTGACTAGCACTACACCGGCCGCGCCGTCTTGCAGTATGGAATCGACAAGCCAAGGAGCCTCTGAGTCACAAACCACGATCTTCTGGGCGACAGCATGGTTAACCATGTAGTCACAGTCCCGCTCTGCCTCGGAGTAGAGGAGTGGATACATCTTTGACATCGGCTTTGCCACCTGGTTAAGCGCTTCACCGTGAAGGCTCATGCCGTTGCCGAGATTGACGCCAACATCAAAACTTCGATCCACCGAGCCGGCAGCGACTGTGAGCAACCATGGTGCATCGTTTTTAATTGAATGTGGCTCGGGTCCTTCATTACCACCACTGCAAACCACAACAATACCCTTTGACACGGCACTGAATAAGCCGATGGTGATGGGGTCCTTATCGGACTTGACATCGCGCGAGGCCAATGGAGATTGAGAGCACGTCCACCCCATCCTTGATTGCTGCGTCGAGGCCAGCTAATATGTCGGAATCATAACATCCCACAATATTGCACACCTTGTACATGGCGATATGGGCACCAGGAGCAATCCCAGATGCGGTGCCCGCTGCCATGCCATGATATGAGGCATCGATGATGAAGTTACCGGCCGCCGTGGACGAGGTGTGTGTGCCATGCCCATCTTCATCGTTAGTGTCTTCGTGTTTAACGAATGACTTGGCACCGATGAGCTTGTTGTTGCATCGGGTCGCCTTGCATGAGCCCTTCCACCTTGCCGGGGGTGACGGGATGTTGTGATCATCGAATGAAGAGTGCTTCGCATAGATGCCGGTATCGAGCAAGCCAACAATGACCCCCTTCCCGTAGCTAGCGTCCCTCCAGAACCCAGTGCCGTTCCTCAACCCAAGAAACTTTGGTGTGTGTGTGGTCATGAGGTACCTTTTTTTCTCCTTGAATGCCCGCACGAACCCCGGTTTCTTGGCAACTACATCAAGCTCCCCATCAGTGAGCATTGTGGCGAAGCCGCTAAACACCTTGGTGTAAGAGTGCACAAGACGTGCCTTGCCCGAGTCGCCATCACGCGAACTGGGCAAAAAAGACTCATACCAATGATGGTACATGTCTTCATCGGCATTAAAAGGTGGTGGCTCAACGAGCATGATGTAAGTGTGGTAGGCAGAGGTATTGGTAGCACCCTGTTGTACCCTTACAGGAGCTTGATCAGGATAGCATAGTATGGGTGTAGGAAAGAAGATTGCAATCAAGAGAAGCGATACTAAGATGTTGGCTAATGATGCCATTGTACAATACCTAGTCGAGGAAGAAGATGATGGTGATTCTTTTAGACACTCGGTGCTCTCAATTTATACACATCCCACCAATGGTATGTCATGATATTTTTTCTAACAAATAAATGAGATATGTGATCTTGCCATATCTTGTTTTAAGAATAATTACATGAAACAATATATGGATTTTGGTTTCTTTGATGCTCTGGCTGGTCGTAATGGTAGTATCGTAGCTAGTATCATACATGTCAACTAGGCAATTTTGATGAGGTGGCATAGCATTAAATGAAGAAAGAGAGGGTGTAGTATCATATCATGATACCGTATCATAATAAATGATATGCTAGTTTGTGTCATGCATGACAATAAATATAATACTACATGATACTAATATATGATACTATGCATTAGGGAGGTAGATCATACACTAGTATCATATGCATGATACTAGTATATGATACTCTCCATTACAACCAGCCTCATAGTGAGAAGAAATCTCCAGATATTAATGTGGCGTATTTGCAAAATATGTGTGTGTGTGCGCGCGCGCGCGCGCGCGCACGCGCTATTAATGTGCGTGCTGAGATGAATTCTAGAAACAATTAATGTGCATATCGGGCTAGTATGCATTAGTATTTGCAAATTTGTTAGTAGATCAATACACTCGGTTTGTTTAATCTTTCTAAATAACTTTCGACATATTGTGCCATTAATTCTATATTCTTTTTAAAAGTGTGTCAATAATTTCAGATGCAAAAATATCGCAATGGTTGCCTTTGCAATCAAGAGAAGCGATACTAAGAGGTCGGTCAAGGATGCCATTATACAACACCTGGGCGAGGAAGAAGATGGCGGTGATTTTTTTTTCTATGACGAACTCCCCAAAATTAATCACCTCACTTTTTTCGAGTGAAATTAATCACCTCACTTGATGTTGTAAAATCAAACACTGGGTATTACTCAAATTGTTCACACACTTTTTGCAGGGGGGGCAGAAAGTATACAGCAGCCCACGTACGTGCCCGGAAGGCAGCCCGTCCCTGTGAGCAGCCCAACAACGGCCCATTCGCACGGCCATATCAGGTAGGGTTTTACTCCAGTCCCCACCTTCCATCGCGCGGCGGCCAGCACCGGCGGCGACTCCACCACCAGCACCAGCACCAGCACCAGGCGGGCGAACCAACCCAGCCCATGGCGCCCCCGACCCGCGCGTCCGCGAAGCAGCCGAAGCCGGGGAGGGCCCTGGGGCGGAGGGGCATGTCGCGCGCGGAGGCGGCGGCGGCGGCGGACGCGGCGGCGAGGCGCTCGGCGGCGGCGCGGGAGTGGCGCGTGTGGGGCGAGTGGGCGATGGGCGCGGCCAAGGTGGTGGCGCACTACGGCTTCATCCCGCTCGTCATCGCCGTCGGCGTCATCAAGTCCGACCCCAAGCCCTCCCTGTTCCAGCTCCTCGCCCCGTTCTGATCGATCCCCGCCACCGTCCGCGTGATCGCGCTTCGCTAGGGTTCGTTCGAGAGATGAAACAGTCAGTTGTGTCCGTGGTAGTTAGTTGTCATCATCAGAGAACTTGCTAGAATTATCTGTGCTGCACCTGCTATTCTGCTCTGGATCAAATTGAACCTGAATCGCTGTTACGTAGTACTAGTATAAATTATAAAATTTCGGTGATGTGATTGTTGATCTCCGTGTGGATTCTGGGTTGTGATGTGGGGGTGTGGATCTTGGTGGCTGCATTGCTTGTGAAAAAGGCGATCCTTTTTGCGTCCTCATGAGATGCTGTGGGCATAACATGCAGCAGGGATTTGTGTTCTCTGTTCATGTTCTTCAGGCAAATCATCAGAGGTGTGTGATATGATCTGGATGCCTCTCGGTAATCGCTCTAATTGGGGAATATCTCGTCTTGTCATCAATGATTTCAAAGTTTCACTGGGCATGCTTCTGTTGTTCAACAATGGGCTCACAGTGGCTAAATTTTTCAGGTAGAATCACTCTTGGTGTTTCATATTTTAGGTTATGTGCATACCTACAGTGGCGGAGCTTAGTGAGGGCCAAAGGGGGCAATGGCCCTCCAAATTTATTTCTTTGTATAAACTCATAGTAATATTTAATAATATTTGGACAAACTTTAATAGAATACACTAGATTAGGCCCCTCAACTCTATTTAAGACTCATTTAGCCCCCTCTCAAATCGCGTTCAAGCTCCGCCGCTGCATACGTATTTGGCATTGTTCATCCCAGTTCGCTATCAGTATATCCTTGAGCTTGCGCTTATGTGTCTTCACTTTTATGTGATCTTTGTTGTCGCTCAACTTTTGAGGTTCCTACAATTACCACTGGTATTTCCGTGATGCTATTTTACTGGGAATCAATAATCTGTGGTGTGTTGTTCATCCAAGTTGTTACCTGTATGCCCTGAGCTTGCTTTTATGTCATCTTTGTTATTGCCAGCCCTCTTTCAAGATTCGTACAATTGCTGCTGGTATTTTTGCAATGCTGTTTTTACTGGGAATCAATAACTGCTGGTATCTCATATCTGTATTTTCGATGTCGGACATGTGAAATGTCGATCTGGCGTGCTGCTTGGCCCTTGTGCAACATGTGATCGTTTCAACTTCGTGAGGTGGTGTCAATCATAGGTAGAGGAGTGTTCTTTTGTGCCCATTTGTCTGGGCAGTTGATTAATTATCGTGGCTTGTGATCATTTTATGGATGCCTGAAAATGCCAGTGAAAAAATGCCTGTTTTCAGTGTTTTGGAAGCTGCACCTTTGATGCTTGTACTCTTGTTCTTCATTTTGTAAATGATGCCTGAAAATGCCAGTGAAAAAATGCCTGTTTTCAGTGTTTTGGAAGCTGCACCTTTGATGCTTGTACTCTTGTTCTTCATTTTGTTCCATAATGGGATCGTTCTGCCTCTTGCAGTTTGTCGTGCGCTTCAGTGTTCCGTTCAATTTCAACGTGTTCTGCCACGTGTGTTATTGAATTGAAGAGTATTTTCCTTTAGCATGGCGCTCTTCATTGGTGTCATTCGTTCAAGAATTAGAGTGTTGTAGGTTGTTAGCATACATATCTTGACCTTGTTCATCCAAGGTAGGTGTTATATGCATTTCCCTAGCTTTTGGTTATATCAGCTGACTTTTAATTGCAGTAAGCTTCGTGTTTTTTTTCGTCAGTTCTACTAATGGTGGTCTTATCTCAACCCTCGAGATTTGTCCACGGTGTAGAACCTGGTTATGGTTGGAATGTCAATTTTGTTAACACCCTTTGTTTACGGAACAACTTTTGATATATTGAAGAATTTCAATCACTTTATAACTTGCGTGTGCCAGATAGGTTGGATCTCAGTTGCTTCAATGAAGGATATTCGCTGACCACCTTTTTTTTCTGAACTGGTGTTGATCAGCTTTTGTTTTCCTGAATAAAAAAACGTGATTGACATGGTAATGTTGTTTTCAAGGACAAAAGGAGTTCGAATCCATTTTCTGCAAAGATTTTTAAAAAGTGTGTGCTTTAAGGATAAGAATGTGCAAATACCCTAGTTACATATATATATATTCCACAGTGCTATAGTGCCACATAAGTCTCCAAAATGTAAGATTGGTCCAACCGAAAAACGGGAACTGCAGTCAGCGTGTATAGACTGCAGGTTAAAGCATGACAATACATTCGAATTATTCCAAGCTAAGATTGAATACGAACATGTTGAATGCAAACCGCTTAATACAGCCCAAATTGAATATTCTGTAACATGACTGATATGGGTGTGCATGCCACTTGGTTTCTCTTATTTGTGAAAATTTTCACGACATCTTCAGTGAGGTTCCAGACTAGAAGTGTTCCCGAGAGTCATAGTGCGCTAACATGAGCAGTATAGAAAGCATCATTGTTGGAATTTATTAGTGCAAGTTTGCAGTTTGCAAACCAAACACTAAGGATATCAACCACGGTGAAATATTTATTTACAACGCAAATGCTCACTGCATAAACAAACTAACTTGGTACATACATGCGAAAGCAAAACATGAACGAAAAAGTAGAGCAAAGCGATTTCTGCACTGCATGACTGAATGAACTACAGACAGGAAAGCTAGAATTAAACTAAGCGACGGCATTTTTGGAACCATGGAATAGAAGGTTATACAGCAGCTGCTGAAATGGCGGTTTTGAGCCTTTTGACGTCATGTGCAGGTGAACGGGAGATGTTATCCACGACAGGATCGACCGATGCAGGAGCCTTCTCTTCGTACGCCGCATCATGCACGCCAAGAGCGGCGCGGCCAGACGGGTCGAGGAGCTTGGACCAGGCGGTGTCCCATTCGACAGCTTTAGCGGTGCTGCATGCGATGCTGGGACCTCCTGGCACCGTTAGCCTAGCAGCATTCTGCACAAATTGAAACATTGATTTAAGTTTTACGGTGCAGATGAAATAGGTCGGAATATAACTATGAGATTAAAGGCTGGTTGTGGCTTCTGGACCTTGGGATAGAACTTCTCGAATACGGTCCTGTAATAGTAGGCCTCTTTTGTTGTGGGTGTGTTGTCAGGGTAAACAAAGCTGGCGTTCGTCATCATGGAATCCGACACCTGAACATAAATAGGAGATACTGTCAATTCTGATGAGGGTAAAAAGTGAAACAAAAGCATTGTAAGACAAATAAATAAACAGATGTCAGCTAATGAATTGTTTGACAAAGAAAAGATGGTATACATGTGCTTTAGCATGGTCCTTCAATCCATCAATCCAACTGTACCCAACACCATCGCTGAATTGTTCCTTTTGCCTATAAAGAATGTGCTGTTCACAGAAAATAAATCTTCCTTATGAGCATACGTACAAGCATGTGCAAGTAACACAGCACATATAGCACAATAAAAGGATGAACTTCTCCAACCTTGGGTAAATAGGGCTTCTCCTCGTCATCAAATGCATTACGCAGAACCCATTTCTCTATCCGGCCAAGATCACGTCTTATCTATTTTTTTCAAGATGATAAAGATAAGAAGATGGTAATGCTAGATATAATAAATGAATAGAGCTAGAGTGAGATTACTATATTATCGCAAGAAAATACATACCATCTTACATTCAGGATCCAGGTCCATTGCTACATTGATAAAGCTTTTGTCGAGAAATGGAACACGAGCCTCAAGACCCCAGGCAGAAGTTGCTTTGTTTGCTCTCAAACAATCATATAAATGAAGAGCTTTTATCTAAATGTCAGGACAAAACAACTCTAGTAAGTCCATCAGCTGACCATGCTGTGCATATACACCATGATAAACTGAAAGAGCAGTTCTGTCTTCAATTACCTTCCTACACGTCTCCTCATGGAGTTCCTTCTTGTTTGGTGCCTTATGAAAATAAAGATAACCACCAAATATTTCATCAGAACCTTCTCCTGAAAGAACCATCTTCACACCCAATGATTTGATTTTCCGAGACATTAGAAACATTGGGGTACTTGCTCTAATGGTCGTTACGTCGTACGTCTCTATGTGGTAAATAACTTCTTCCAATGCATCAATGCCCTCCTGGGATTTAGTCAGATGAATTAATAACTACAAAATGACCCCTCCTCTATGCAAAGGACGAAAAAAAATAACGAACCTGCACTGTGAAGTGTAATTCATGATGGACAGTGCCAAGGTAGTCAGCAACTTCCTTAGCAGCTTTAAGATCAGGAGAACCCTACAAAAAATGGAACGTGTTAAGTTTCTGTCCTATTGTATCCTCTGCTTGTATCACTCAACTAAACACGCCTCCTTTTCTTATAAAAGATACTCATAAGAACAAGAAAACAACTTAAATTTTGAAAGATGGCCTAAAGTGATTCTCAGCAATGAGGATAGACCAGTAAACAATATTGAGAAATGTACCTTCAAACCGATGCAAAAGGTGTGCAGTTGGTTTCCCCACTGCCTGGCAACTTTTGTTTCTGCCAAGTGCCGTGAAACAACTGAAGCCACCAAAGAAGAGTCAAGTCCACCAGACAAGAGAACGCCAAATGGCACATCAGTCATGAGCCTCTTAATAACAGCCTGCGAAATTTGCAATTCATCTAAGAAAATATAGTAGATGATATACGTGAAGAAACTTAGTTTATGAAATAAACCGTCAGACAAAATAACTTATTTATACTATGTACATACTTAATAACCAATTAGCATTGTTTTGAATAACATGCCATCTATGTAAGATCTTAATACAGAGATCATTGCACTAAGACATAATTGTGATTGCAAGAGAGCTGCAATAACCTAGTATTACTCGTGAATTATCAACCAGGGTATTCCAAACAAGCATCGCCTAATCAGAGGCATCGATACATCATATCAACATGAAGCAAATCAAGAAGAGATTAACATGAAATAACTACAAATGTATACTTTATGCATCAAAAGGTGCAAAAATGTACTCCCTCCGTTCCGAATTACTTGTCGCAGGTATGGATGTATCTAGATGTATTTTAGTTCTAGATACATCCAATTCTACGACGAGTAATTTGGAACGGAGGGAGTAACAGAGAGCATAAAGAAAGGTGTGACCTTCTCAAAACTCTCTCGGATGAGGAGAGGATCGTAAGGGGTTGAGGGAATGCTTTCTGAAAACCACGGGGGGTTGTACCACCTCCTTAGGCCACCTAGCATAAATGTTAGAAAACAGATTACCAGGCAAGACAAATGGATATCTGAAACAACTAATAGTAGCTTATACTATTTTTGCCTTCAGAGTTTGCAAATCTACATGTATGGTATGATGCCTGATAAGATCGTCAATTTGTCACAAATTCATTAAGACATTTTATAGTGTTGAACCTGCTTTGCTTGAGTACAAGTGCCCAGGGGGGAACGATATGAAGCGCTCACAATCATCACTCAACGCCTTCATCTCTGAAGAAAACCATACTGACCCTGGAATAACAACGAACATACAAATTAATGCATAGTAGCCACTACATAAATGCATAGAGTTGAGCCAAGTTGTAACAGATACAAACACTACAGCACCTGCTTATTCCAGAACAATGTACTTGCAAATACAAACAGCCAACTATATTTTTCAACAGTTCACAGGACTCAGAATCTTTGGCATAGCTAACTCCATATAACGAATTTAACAGTCAGCTTGGGAAATATTGTGTCTATCCACATCTTTCCCATCAGACATTCAAATTGCACACTATCATAGGCATCAGAACCTAGGCACTCCCTTAGTCTGGGTATACAAGATAATTTGGTTGGCCAAATATTTGACCAAAAAAACAATCCTACGATATGTGAGTTATGTGACACAAAATTGATACCGTTTGAGTCGAATTCAAAAGCTTTTTCCTATGATTGTGATTCTGTAACTAGTAACAAATATTACGGAAAAAAAATGTCAATATATCTTATATATCCAGATAGTGAGTGGCATCTCTATATTCTAGTTATCAAACTACAGGTGGTGAGAGACAGCACTCCAGATTTTGTGGGATGTGAGCCCATGATAGATCTAGGGTTATTATCTTTTATTGTTTTTTTGCAAATTAATTGGCCTTATCGAATCCTATTCTAAGGAAATAGGCAAGCGGTGATATATCTACTTCTAATCTCAAACTTAATTTAAATGGGCCTACACGCAACCTGTTTTTCTCCTCTTCATGATACATGGATCGACCACTGAAACAGTTGCATGACCAAGCAAACCAATACCAAAAGTCCAGACCAAGATAAATTTGGGAGGAAAAAGATAATAACTTCATGTTCATGATTTCGATCAAAGGGACAAAGTGTCTATAAGAACAGAATCTCTGCATACCATCAAGACCCCAGCCCATGTATAAGGGACAGATACCAATAGCATCGCGTGCAGCGATGAAGCTTTTATCACGTGTGTCAAGAAGCACAAACGAGAACATGCCATCCAACATATCCACAAATTCTTCCCCATATTCCTCATACTGTGAAAACAATATAGTTCGAAATACAAATGTTAACAAATAAAATATATGCACTGGAGGACGATGCTTAGGTAAAGACCATAAAAAGTGTTGGCAGAAGCCAAGCTACACAGTAGAACACCAAAAGAAACTGAACATAGAGAAATAAGAGTACAAACTTACTAGGTGAGCAATAACTTCACAATCACTACCAGTTTGGAACTGATGAGATTTCAGCTTAGCTTTCAGTTCTTCATGATTATAGATCTCGCCATTCACCTGGAAAAGTCAAACAGACAAGATGTGGTTAAAATAAAAGAAAGGAACAAAACATATTTTCTCAATTGGTACAGAAATATAGTGGATAAAAGGTCGTGTCTCAGAGATGCAATGAGCAGAGATAGGAGATAACATTTATAAAATCCCATCACAAAATTATCCACAAAGAAATGCTAGTTACCAAAAGCAGAATAGTGAGACGTAATCAAATGTTATACATGGAAATGAATCATAAAAGCACAGATAAGAAAAATGAAAACAGTAAAACGGCATTCCCACTGCAGATACTGACCGTCACAACAACTGTTTTGTCCTCGTTGTACAGTGGCTGGTCTCCAGATGTAGGATCAACAATAGCCAACCGCTGGTGCGCAAGATAGCAATCCTCAAAGCTGTGTATACCACTCCAATCAGGGCCTCTGTGCCGTAATCTATGAAAAATGGCAGACTAATTCAGTGGGTTCATAAGATTTCATATAATGAACCATGTGTCACCTAAGGACATTTCAATAACAAGCAGCACACAGAAATTTTAGTTCACGAAGATCTCTGAATCCAGTTTAATCTAATGCAACATTGTGTTGAACAACAAGTCAACTACTCACTCTAATCTAAGGTCCAACCTTGAGTACTGTTACCTCATGACCGTGCAGTTCCTAGAGTGGGAGAAGTTGCACAGACTAAGTGATAAGACATAGCAAACAAAAAAGTCCTAATTCTGCATAAAAATATTCCATACTTGTGCACACACACATTAGGGAGGCGTTGCTACAGACACTGCATTTTCATAAATTTGAAATCACTAGAATTTAGGCATATGCAAGACCACACAAGTGAAGCACCTTGTTAAGTAAACAAAATGCCACTAGTTTCCAAATTATCGTGTGAACATTCCGAACCTCAACAGACACACGCCTACATACTGTACATACTCTGTTCCCTAAACCCGAAACCTCATGGTTCCTGAGCACGTAGACACGACACAGCAATCACAAACAATTTTACAAAGTTGACGACAATTTCCCTCGCATATTAACAACTCATCTAACATAAAATCCTCACAAATATGTCCACACCAAATTATCCAGATAGCTTTTCCATCAAACAATAATGACGAATTGACGATGATGTCGGATAACTAAAAATGGTAAATAAAGCGAGAGCGACATCACAGGGCCAAAGTGGACACGCATCTCGCCTACTATTGCCAACCGCACAAATCCGCCGCCAACTTCAA